GTAATGTAATGGAATGGAATGTAATGTAATGTAATGTAATGTAGGGTAATGTAATGCAATGTAATGTAATGTAATGCATGTATGTTTGCATGCATGCATGCATGCATGTCTGTCTGTCTGTCTGTCTGTCTGTCTGTCTGTATGTATGTATGTATGTATGTATGGTATGTATGGTATATACGTTTTGTATGTTATGTATGTTATGCATGTCTGTCTGTCTGTCTGTCTGTCTGTCTGTCTGTCTGTCTGTATGTATGTATGTATGTATGTATGTATGTATGTATGTATGTATGTGTGTGTGTATGTATGTATGTATGTATGTATGTGTGTATGTTTGTGTGTATATGTATGTATGTCTGTCTGTCTGTCCGTCTGTATGTATGTATGTATGCATGTTCTACGCATGTGTTATATATAAACATATATATATATATATGTGTATGCATGTGTCACTAGAGATATCAAGGTGCCCCGAAGACGGCCCAAGCGGTTTCCAAGAGACCCTCCAAGAGAGCCCGAGGGGGCCAAAATCATGTTTGCCCCGGACGCGGTGGCGCCAACACTTTGAAGCCAGCGGCCGCGAGAGGACCGGACGGTTGTCGAGCAGCGGCGGGGCGCGCCGGGGCACAGCGGGGCACGGAGGCGGGCACGCGCGAGGCGATGATGAGCGGCCGGGGAGGCTGGGGGAGCGAGGGGGAGCCACACTCAGACCATGAGAGTCTTTTACCTGTTGGGCATCGTACCCATCCTTTCCGTATCCATGTCGGGCGTGCGAAGACAGGTCGTTTGTTGTCCCTCTGCTTCTTTTGTTCCTCCCCCCCTCCCTCCGAGCCCGCGCGTGCGCAGTAGGGACAGGCTGGTTGACAGCTGGCAAGTCTGCGCGACTTCCTGGAGGAAGAAAACAAACAATAACGAAAAAGTGAGTCTTTTCCCTCTGCGTGCGCCTTCCGCATCTTCCGCGCGGAAGGTGCCGCCGCGACGCGGCCTCGACGGCGGCCGCCGCGCAGCAGCGCGGCACCTGCCGCGCGGAAGGTGCGGATGTTTCAGGTTGAGGGTTGTGTGCGCGCCGAGGTGCAAGTCCTTGAATCGGGCCAGGCGACACGGAAATGGCGGGGAACGAAATCTGTTGCATGCTGCTGGTTTCCGCCCCGCCGCCGGGCCCATTCCTCGATACATGGGCGCCTCCCGGCACCAGTAGGCACTGGGGAAACCAGCTACGCGAGCTCGACCCTTTGCTAGCCCAACCTGCCGTTCCCACAATTGAAGTGCGGCTGGCGCCAACGCACACTTCCTGAGCACAACCAGTCCTGGAGCCCCGACCCCTTCCCTGGGGCTGGCGTTTCATCCTGAGTCGTGTTGTGACGGTCCCGAGGACCGGCATTGCCCCAGATGCCGAAAATTACCCCCAAACCGCCCACTCCAACTTTTGTCGGGGCGTCGGACCTCTGGGTTGGCGCCAACACACACATACACATACACGCACCTTCTGAGCACCACCGCTCGTTGCCGCGGACCCCCACGGATGTAACCCAGGGAGGCTGTTCGGGCGCACCCTCGACGAGGATGGACGCCCCCCTAGCGTCCATGCACAGGCTGGGTCCCAGGCTTTCGGCCCACTCGAAAACCCCACGAAGTCGGGGCTGTGGGGTCGACATCTCCCTTGTGAGTTATCAAAGATCGGCTTTGCACTAGTGCTGAGAGCGGAGAGGACTCTTCCAGCTCAGTTCCTCCTCCTTCCTCCTCGTCCCTCCTCCTCCTCCTCCTCCTCCTCCTTCTCCTCCTCCTCCTCCTCCTCCTCCTCCTCCTCCTCCTCCTCAGCGGCTCACAATGTGAGTCGCCGCCTCCCTGCCGAGCGCGCCGCCGAGAGGCGCCCCAGCGACGCCCGCGCCCGCTGGCAGTTCCCGCGGCCCCCGTCCCCACCCCCGGGGGCCGCGGGCAGGCCGGGGCCCACGCCGCAGGCGCGCCGGCCCGCCCCCGGGGGCCCGGCGCTCCGCGGGGCCCGGCGGCTCCCCGCTCGCGATGCCGCGTGAGTTTTTGTTCGGGGGCGGCCAAGAGGGGGGTGATGACTAGGGGGGGGTGGATACCGCGGCGGGGGCCATGAGATCTCCCCAGGCGTCATGGCGCCTCTTCTTATTTCATCACGTCCCCGGCCCCCCCTTCGGCGTGGGGGGATCTTTCTGGGGAGCATCGGGGGTGGACAGACCTCCTACCCTGACACGTCGATTGGCGAATTGGCCGTTGTCGGTCCGCGAGAGGGCGTCTCGGCCGTCATTCTTGCAGGTCCAGGTCCGTCGGTTGCGGTCCCAGGCCGTTGTCACTAAAGGGAGGTTTATTGAAGGGAGGGTTGTCCACCGCCGACTTCTGTGCTCCTGGACGAGATGCCTCGTGTGGGGGGATCTTTCGGCTCTGGTTCGGCTCCAGTTCGACTCCAGCTCGTCTCCACGTCCTCTCAGGCTCGGCTTCAGGCTGGCTCAAGCTCGACTCCAGTTCGCCCCAAGTCCACGGGCGTTCGACGTAGCATCGATGCATGAGTGGAGCGAATAGCTCCAGGAGGGTCCCCAGAACGAGCATTCAAGATGCCTTTCTGTCGATGATATTCCCCTTCTTGGGCCCTCTGGGAGGCCCCTGTCGCCACCATTGGATTCGCCTTGAGATTCTGCTCAGAACGCACCCTAGGAGAGGTCGCTGGAGTACGGTAGGTTCATGCGATGTTGGCGCGCCGGCGACGCCGGCGACGGCGTGTAAGGTTGAATCTTGCGACGTGGAAGCACTGAGGGACGCGGTAACGTCACTGGACCCGACAGAATTCAACCTTGAACGATCGGGGCCGCGATCGATACAAGGTTGAACGATCGACGCGGTGTCAAAAACCTTTGCGCACGCCGACGCCGCACGAACCTACCGTAGCGGGATCGGCACCTTCTGGGTTCCCCACGCCTTCCCCCTCCCGACGTGCTCGCGCGTCGTGGAGAACGTCGGGGCCGGAGGCTTGTCGCCATGTTCTGCCTCGGGTGGCCCGGGAGGGGTCCAGGGACCGATGCCGAGCGGATTTGGCCCCCTATCCGCCCCTCCAGTACCTCCCTAGCGAAACTGCACTGCTCGGTGCCCCTCCCCCCACTTCCGATTACGTTAGCGCCAGGGCTCAGGAAACCACTCATGTATCTTGCCCGCGCTGGGCCTCGGGACCGTCACAGAACGGCTCAGGATGAAGAGCCGGTCCCGGAGGAAGGGTCGAGACCTCTCGGGGTCGGGGGCGGAAAAGAGGGGGGTGATGACTAGGGGGGGGTGGATATCATGGCGGGGGCCATGATGTTTCCCCAGATCTCATGGCGCCTCTTCTTATTTCATTACGGCCCTGGACCCCCCGCTGGGCCGCGCACATGCCGCCAGTCATGATTTGCACCCCCCCCTCTTGGACACCCCCCTCTTGGCCGCTCCCGATCGGGGTCGACGCTGTGACAAAAGGTCATGGCGACGGGAGTCCTGGGGACGGAGAATCCGAGGCGGGAATGTATCCATAACCGCCCGCCTGGAGGGTCGGTTTTCGGAGCCTCGGCAGGCCGTGGATATGGACCCATTCGTGACCCCGGGGGCTGAAATATATCCATATCCACCGCCCGCTGGGGCACCAGGACGTCGGTTCCCAGGCGGTGGATAGGGACAAATCCCCGCCTCGCAGACAGAGAAGCGACACCACTAGGGGGGGGGGCATCTCCAGCAAAGAGGCCTACAATTACCTTCCCGAGCTGGGGGGGGGCGCACCACCAGAGGACCCCCCCCCTCCTGGCTCCTACTGCTGGTGGTCCCTGGTGGCGGGTTGTACAGTGCAGCTTTTCTGGGTTCTTCTCTTGTGCACCTGCAACGTTTCCGCCTTTTTGGGGGCCTCCTGGAGAGCCCTCGCCTCCACGGTTGGGTTCGCCTCGAAGTGTTGGTCACAAGAAACGCCCAGAGAGAGGTCAAGGGAGTAGCCAGACGGGTACCCACCCCTGCCCAGGCCCAGAGATGGCCTCAGCCAGGTGGTATGCCTCCATGGCTCGTGGCTGGTGCCCGTGTGGACATACCGCTGGCGCCCCCCCCGCCCCCGGATATACCCTCGCCGAGTTCCGCTTCCCCTGCTCTCTGGCGGCGTGTGTGTGTGTGTGTACACCTTAGGCGATGCTTAAGAAAACCCAAGTTTTCGGCCAGAGTCTCGATTATTCTTAACGTTTCAATGTAAATCCTAAGATTGTAATAAAAATGTTGGGTTTTTATTCAAGTTCTGAGACTATGAATTTCTTAACCCATGATTTCTTAAGCATTTCGCAGGGTGTACACTCTTCGCTCCCGGCATGTCCCGCCCGTTGCCCGACCGGCGATTGCACCTCCTTCGCTTCTCACTTGCGCCCGCTGGCTCACAAGTGTGCGCTTGTACATTCAATAGGAGCATCGACCTGCCATCAGCGGGCGCCGCGGCGGGCGAGACATCTCGCACGTCGCGGGGTGCCATACGCCGCCAGCGGCGAACGTGTCCCGGCACATTTGCCTTGCACCTTCCGCACCATCCGCGCGGCAGGTGCCGCGCTGCCGCGCCGATATGCCGCGCGGAAGGTGCGGAAGGTGCAGGTGGAGAGTGTGTGGTCAGGTTTCGGGTAGCGCAGAGACAGCCCCTCCAGGTAGCCTTGGCTGACCTCGGTGGGTCCATCGAGTGTGTCTCCTCAGAGGACCTAAACAGGCCCCTGGGCGCCGACTCCAGCGGCGCCCCTGGGGCGCTCCGCGCCCCAGGGTTGGGGTGTTGAGACCGCCCCGGATTTTTCGGGGGCCTATTGAGATGAGACCTGCCAGGACTCTTCGGGGGGCCTGTCGAGGCCAGCTGGGACATTTGGGGGGGGGGGGGCTGGCTGTGCGCAGGCCGAAGTTTCACCATGTTTATGTGTGTTCTTGTGAGTCCTTATGTTTTTTGTGGTTGTTCGATTTGGCCTCTGTAGGGGGACCGCTGTGGGTTCAGGGGCCATCAAGCATTTGTGTGGGACGGAATCCGTAGCCATTTTGGCTCAAGCCGCCAGACATCGCGCCCACCCGCGGTCGCAGCGGCGCGCGGCGCGTCATGGCCGAGACCTCGCGGCGCGTGCTGCCGAGGAGCACCTGGCCCCCGGACGAGGAGACAGCGGGGCCGACCCAGACATGGGACGCGAAGAACCCGCAGGGCGATCGCGACGACGACGACGGGACGGTGCAGGTGAAGGCGATGCCGAGGAGATGCATCAACGCCACCGACGAGGAGCTCTGCGTGGCGCGCGTCGAGGCCGAGGCCTCCCGAGAAGGTGACAATTCTTCCTGCGCCGCGAACTCCTCGAACTCCTCGGGCGACGCGGCCGACGGCCAGGAGGACTCCAGGGAGGCCGAGGAAGAGGAAGAGGAGGCCTCCATGGCCCGGCCCGTGGCGGACATCGCGACGGCGTTCCCTGGGCCTCTCGCGGCCTGCGGCCGCTCGGGGTACCTGTCCGTCTACTGGGCGGGCAAGAGGAGGATCTACGTCAGGCATATGGGCGACTTCAACAACTGGAAGGCTGAGGACGTGCTGCTGCCCCCGGAGGTCGACATACAGCCCGGCGTCCCCGTCAGCGCCATGAGCAGGCCGTACGACTACAACGGGGTGGTCTGGGCTGGCAAGGACAAGATACACCATGTCTACATGGATGACCGCGCGTGGGGCGTGTGGAAGAACGTGACCATCACCGCGGTCGGCATGAAGAACGGGACGCACATCGCCGCGACCGGGCAGCCCGGCTACATGTCCCTGTGGTGGGCGGCCAAGCGAAAGGTGGTGCGCATGCACTGGGGGGCTTACAACAACTGGACGGCCCGGACGAACTATGTGCCGACGACCGTCCCGATCTCGCCCGGCACGAAGATGTACGCGATGAGCATGTCGGGCACCTACGCCGGCGTCGTGTGGGCCGGCGAGGGCAAGATCCACCACCTCTGCCACACCGCAGACGACTGGAGCAGCTTCAAGTACCACGCGTACGACCAGGCTGGCATTACCAGCAGCACGCCCCTGGCCGCGTGCGGGCGCCCCGGCTTCCTGGGCATCTTCTGGGCCGGGGAGAACAAGGTGCACATGATGCGCATGACCGTCTTCACGGGCTACCAGCCCGAGCATGTGGTGCTCCCCCCGCAGGTGCACATCTTGCCCGGCATGTCTCTGTCGGCCATGTGCAGGGACGACCAGTACAACGGTGTCGTCTGGACCGGCCTCGGAGGCACGCACCATCTCTACGAGGACTGGCAGGCGTGGGGCGAGTGGAAATACCACGACCTCACCCTGTGGAGCGACGGCCACGTGGAGAAGTTCGGATTCGATGCGCTTCAGGACACGACCGTCCACAAGGACCGCGAGTGGAGTATTCCTACTACTCCGGCCGGAGTTCTCTGCATGAGCGTCGGACTTGTGTTTGGAAGAAAGCTACTTCGGCTTCTCGGAGTCTGAGGCGCCCGAAGGAGCGCGGCGGACAGAACGGCGCCCGCCCGGCCGCGCAGAGCCTGGAGGCCCGCGGGAGCCGCCGGCGGCTGCCGGCCCCGAGGGCGCCCCGCGGGATAGCCCCGCTCGAGCGGGAGCCGGGCGGCCGTCGTCGCCGGCAGACGACGGTGATTGACATTCGTGAGCCCGGCCTCTCCTCCCGCCCGCCGTCGCCCTGCCTCCCGCAGCTTGCCGGAGCTTGATGCCAGATCCTTCCGATTGCTCCTTCTATCGTTTGCGCGGTGCCAGCACGAGCCCGAGGCGTGCAGAACGTGGCGGCAATACTTGAGCAGCGAGAGAGCAGCGTTCGGCGAAAAAAAAAAAAACATTTGTGTGGGACGGAATCAAGCATGGATCCCAGAAGAAGACCTACCGGGTCGTGACCGTTGAAGCCGCGCATTGAAGATAATCACACCGTCGGTTATTTGGGTTCCCAGTGCAGACCAATTCTTGTCCTGAGGAAACGGTGGGAGGCGCATTGGAGACTCAAGACATCGGATGCCCGGGTGTCAGTCCCTGTCCCCGGACCCAGATTTGAGGCTCTAAGGTCGGGGGTTTGTGCGATTATCGTCCTGTTTGAAGCGCAAGAGCGGTATCCCGTCGCCATGGCTGGCTCGCATTGAAATTCTGCCCCGAACGCACACCTGGAGAGATCCGGGGGCGCATCTCCCAGTTACCGTGGCCAGCCAGACCCACTTGGTCGTGCTATGAGGAAAACACGATGACGTGTGAGTCGAAATTTTCGGCCTCTGCTGAGGGCCCTTGTCAGGCCCTCTGCTGACAGTGCAGATGGAAACCCGGTCCCGGGTCGAGATCTCGGGCGATCCACGCTGGGAAACAGTCACGACGTAGGGGGGCCGGGCCGTCGCTGTCGCCGCTCCTTCGGTGCCTAGGAGGTAGCTGTCGGGCGAGCCCCCCCTGGGCCAGACAAGGGGCAGGGGAGGAGGACCGAGGTTCGAGCCGGAGGGCCTCCAACAGGTATGGCATCGGGTGCGTGAGAGTCCTCTGTTCTGCGGGGCTTCTGGGAGCATCCGGGGGAGACCTCGGTGCCTCCTGCAGGCCTCGGGGAGGTATGCGTGCGTTGGAGTTCTCTGTTCTGCGGGGCCTTCTGGGAGCCTCCGGGTGAGACCTCGGTGCCTTCTGCAGGCCTCGGGAGGCCCGGGCCCCGGAGATCCGCGGCCGTCCAGCCCGAGGGCCGCGCAGGCGGAGCAAGCAGCAGGCCCACCAGTCGGAGCCTGCTCGCTGTGCGCAGCGTTTGGATCTGTTCAATCATCCATTCTCGGGTCGGGCGAAAGGGGGGGATTGGGAAAGGGGGGGTTACGAAATTTGCTGCATGCAGCTGGTTTCGGCCTCACCGAGGGGCCCATTCCTCGATACATGGGCGCCTCCCGGCGCCGGGAGGCGCCGGGAAAATCAGCTACGTGAGCTGATTCTCAAACCCCCCCTTTGCTATCCCCCCCTTTCGCCCGACCCGACATTCGGAGGGGGGAGATGCGACACCAACACCACCAGGGGCCCGAGAGCCCACCTCCAGCGAGGAGGTCCACGATGCCTCCCCGAGCTGGAGGCTGGGGATGTCTCGAGCGAGAGGGGGGGGCCACACCACCAGGGAGACCCGCCCCCTCTGCTCCTCGCATCTCCTCGCCCTGTTGGTGTTGGTGTCGCCTTTCCTTCGTCCTATCCATCGGCCCCGGATCTGGGCGATGACGCCCACGGTGCGAACAACTAGCGACGCCCTGACGATCGGGGAGACACTCCGGATTTCTGCCGGAGGCCTGATCCCGACCAGCTTCCCTAGACATCCGACGTCCTGACTTTCCAATACGGGGTCCCAGGAACTCTCAACCCTTTCTCGAAGCCTCGCGTTTCACCCTGAGTCGTATTTCGATGGTCCCTGTGGTCCAGCGAGGGACCCCAGCGGCCGAAAACGGTGGAAATGCTTGGTCTTGCTCCCGACGTCGTGTTTTTTTCGCAGCGTCGTAGCGTCGACCCCCAAAGGTCTCGACCAATTCCCCAGGACGAGTTTTTCATCTTGAGTCGCTTGTTTGACGGTCCCGAGCGCGCTCCGCCTTCGCCCCCCCCTCTCCCGGGTGGCTGCCTTCTGCCCTCACCGTGCCTCGTGCGCCTGAGGTTGCGAGTCCGCATCGCAGTCTGCCGCCCCGGCCTCGCTGTGCGTCCTCCAGCGCTGGGGCAGACAGGTCTGGGACCTCCCTCGTCGAAGAACCCAAACTCATAAGCATAAACTGCCCGAGCTCCGCGCGGATTTCTTGGATCGGCGCTGGACCCCTCTGGCGGCGTCTCCGGCGCCGCACCTGGCGTGCTCCGTGCGCCAGGGAGGGTGGTCCAACACAGACCCAACAGAGAGTTCACAGAGCACACCGCAGTTGCGGAAAAGATTGAGGGCGCGGCGGGGTCGTCGGCAGTCTGCGCTACGCTCTTAGGAAAGCCGCTGCAGGCGCCGATGCTTTAAACACATTGCGCAAGGGGGTCGCCGCAGACCCTAACTTTTTGTCAAAGCGAAGTGGGTGGTGGGTCGCGGGTGGGTCGCGCTGGTTGGCTCGCGGGGTTGGCTCGTGGGGTGGCTCGAGGGCAGGTCGCGGGCGAAGACGACGACGACGACCTCGACGACGACGACGACAGCAACGTAATCACAGCAACCATTTGAACATTGTTCGTTCTTGTTTGCTCGCGTGTCAGTCAGATATTTGCACTGCCTGCCACGTGTAGTTTGTGAATCCCCTACGACCTGGGAAACGAGGAGGGAAGCAACCAGGGGATAGGGAAGGATGGAGCACGACAGAGATTAGCAGGAAGGGGATCAGGAACAGAAAAACAAGCGGTGTAACCAGACTAGCGGGTCTGGCCGGCGACCTTTCCTGGCGGATTGGGCGGGCGGACCAACCGCCGAACCCTTTCTAAGCAACTCGCGCAGGGACAGTGAATGACCGTTCGCCCCCCTCACTCTAATGTTAATGTAGTTGTGTCTTGCTCGATTTCCTCCTCACATACGCGGGCGACTTGCGTGCACGGTGGTATTTTTGCGTCCCCCGAGGCGTCGTCGATCCTCGACGTTGGAATTGTACGGTCGATCGTTTCCTGGCCTTCAGAGCCGAAGAACTATCCACCCTACCATGCTGCAGCGTGGCCCGAAGGGCGCCCAGACATGGCATGGCAATTGCGGTGCATGGGCGCCGTTCTCGCTGTCGCGGGCGACAGCATGTCCGTATCCGCGGCCTCGCGGGCTGGGCCCCGCGACCCCTCGGAATCGGGGCGTGTTTTTTTTTGCGCGGGTGCCCCGCGCAGAACGTACCCGTGCGACCACGCATCCGCGAGAGCGCGCTCTGGAGTCCACACCGCGAGTGCGCGGACCCTCGACCTGCACCTTCCGCACCTTCGCTGCGGCCTCGACGGTGATCGCCGCTGCGGCCGCGGCGGCGGCCGCGGCAGCGCGGCACCTGCTGCCGTGCGGATGGTGCAGAAGGTGCAGCTCGAGGGGATGCGGGGCCCCTTCGCCGCTCGTGGCGTATCGCGCCCCGCGGCGTGCGAGATGCCTCGGTCGCCGCGGCGGTCGCCGCCGTCAGGACCGCGACGGCGGCAGTGCCCAGAGTGGCAGCGCGACCAGGAGGTGGGGCAGCGCGACGCGGAGCGGCAGCGCGACGCGGAGCGGCAGCCCCGGGGGCCAGAGTTCGGGGCTCACGTACGTACCTGGGGTCAGCGCTGACCGGGATCAGCGAATTCCCTCTGGCTGACGCGGGTTTGGCGGCCGCGTGGAGCCTAATCCTCCCTTTCCGCCTTCCGCTGACCTGGACTTGGGAGCCACTAAGCTGACGGCCGGTCTTCGCTACAGGGCCCTGGCCGACCCAGGATTGAGCTGATCCGGGTTGGTGCTTCCCCGAAGATCTAGGCCTCCCAGAGGGGATCCGAAGAGATGGGGTCGGTGGATCGCGCCGTATCGCCGATGCATCGCCGATGCGTCTTGATGCCAGAACCGATTTTCTCTACGCCGACGTCGCCAATGCATCGCCGACGTCGCCGCTGCATCGTCAATGTAAGGCCGATGCATCGCTGATGCATCGTCGATGCATCCATCGATGCTGCGCGATCTTCCGACCCCACTACTCGGACCCCATGTGGGAGGCCTCTGGAAGAGGAAACGTTAGGGCCGCTATGGGGCCAGAGGCAACACTAAGGGGGAGGACATTTCCGACCCCCTCCCACTCCTGGCGTTTTCAGGCGTTGTCGTCAGTTTCTGGAGGATTCCCTGCCTCGAGATGTGTGTTCAGCGGCTGCGCCTCGCCGAGGGTCGTCCTGGGGTGCCCAGATCGTCCCGAACGGCCGCTGGAGACCCGAGATCTGACAAGAGAACCAGACGCTGAGGATCACTGGGGAGGATCGGCGCAGTGGGGGGGATGCATCGACCCGCAATCGCCAATTCTTTGTTGATGGGGGCCGGAAAGCCCATCCCGCCCAGGAAGGTGCGGTGTCGCCAGCGAGGCCTATCACCGATCAATTGGCGATGTATCGCCCCTCAATAGCTGCTCTTCTTATTTCTTTTTCTACAGGCCCGCTTGGCGTTCAAGTTGTCCGAGGGCCCTCTGCCCTCAGCACTGCTCCGCACTTGGATGCGGACCACCTTGCCGACAGGTGACCAAACAAAGCCAGCGAGAACTGGGTTAGTTAAAAAAAATGGCGACGTATCGCCGATTCCTGGTCGATGCTTACCCAGTGAGCTTGTCCCCCCCTATCGTTCCCCTCGTGGTTTATTTTTTGTCGCGAAGAGAGTCGGCGCCTGTTCGCCGGTTTCCTCCTGTGGACCTCGACGGGCCTCGGAGATACCAAAAACCATTCGGGATGAACAGCCAATTGTGGGTAGGGGGATTTGGACTTCTGGGTCCCGCTGAACTGAAACAAAGAGGACGTCGAACATCTGGTGCGCACTCACAGTCGACGAGGGGGAAATAGAATCCCCTATTCGGCCCCCCGCGGGACCCTCACGGGTCGTTTCGGTGTGCAATCCTGCGAAAAGGTTGATGTCTAGGGCTTAGGGCTTTGATCGCGATTTCTCATAATGATTTTTGTGTGGTGACGCCAGGAATGATCGATGTGGAGCACGGTGTTTTGTTTCGATTAATATATTCGGGGGCGTCCGAGCAGCTCATTCGGAGGCGTCCGACCAGCTCACGGTGGAATGTGCACAGATGGGAGTATACGAGCAGGAGGGGTCTTCATGGGATCAGCAGCGGCGCGGCCCCGCCTGACGCATGCACGAACCACTCCCTGCTTGGATCCATGACTCGCGATTGCCTGGCATCGTG